CGTTTTTCCTCCAAGCCTCTTGACTTTTGGGTTCCAGCTGGGAATGGACCAGCAAACGCTGACCTAGCATGAGGGAGTCTGTGCTCATGATATTTCCAGTCTGAGGACATGACATCGGATCTCTCCTCTGCACAGAGAACCCGATCTCACAGGGTTTTAGTAGAGCTGGGCAGAGAAAGCTCATTCTGTTTTGTGGAGCAGTTTGTTATTTCAAAATAAGGTTTCATTTCATTTTCAAATTCTCCACGAAAGGGAATGGGGCCTCAGCTGCGGCTCAGTCGACCTGCTGAGCTTCCCCAGAGCCACAGAAGCCCTGAGAGCCCAGGCTGCTGGGGAGCCATGAGTCTGGGAACTGGCAAGCTAGGATGGCTTTCAGGCGCCCAGGTCCCCATCAGCCTGCCAGGTGGGTGAGCTGACAGGAAACCAGACCATGTCTGGCTGAGCCGTGTAGCTGGGATATAGTAGATGGCATGAAAGGTGCCATTCACTGATTTCAACTCCATTGTTCCACTGAGCTCCTCTCATGCATCTGGTCACTGTTGTGTGTGTCTAGCAATAATTAACATTTTTTTCATGGTCCAAAGCCAACACCCCATTCCGTGTTATCTTCCTTTGCCCTCTGGAGAGGAGGCGGTGCTTTGATTGGATGCACCAAGTAATTAGAGGTACAATGAAGTGCCATGTTAATCAGAGAGAGCGTGAGGATGGAGTTTGTCCTGAGGTTAAGAAGGAAAGAAAGGCAGATAGAAAGATAAGAGCTTCCTGCATGCGAGCTGCAGGCTCGGTGGAGCTGCCTCGAACCTGTCTTTCCTCTCAGTCTCTCGGCACAGCTGTCCCTTCATGTCCCCCTGCACTGGTGTAAATTACACTGGAGGAGTTGATGGCAGGATCCCCTTGCCCCAGGGCTGGGTGGATCCCTCTGGGAGGGAGTGCACCCAAGAGAGGAGGGGGACAATGGTAGGACATTCAGGTCACAGGAGACAGCCTTGGGGAAAGTGGGAGGGTGTGGGGATGAGAGAGAGAGGGGGGAGAAAGGCCAAGGGATCGATTGTGGCCCCTCCGTGATGGCCCCCAAGACTCCTCCAACTTGTCCCAAGAGCTGCTTCAGCCCCTGCCGCAGCCCACAATCCTCTTGTCGTGGACTGTGCCTTCTGTCTCCCAGGAGACATCACTGCACACCCTTCACAGGTGATGCGCCCCCCTCAGGGTCCAGCAGCCAGGGAGGAGGCACCTAGAAATACCAGGCACAGGCCATAATCCACCCACACCAACTGCTCCTGGTGGGAATGAAGGGCTGGCTTGGATTGCTGGCAACACAGGTGTTTGCAGCTGGCTCAGCTGGTGGACTGGAGCCAGCTGGAGGGTTCTCGAGTCCCTTCTCGGCTCAGCTGCCAATAACACGTCCCCTTCCCATTTCTTGCAGATGGCACATTAGGGCCCAGTGATATATGGACAGGAAGTGGTGTTGGGAACTAGCCTTCTGTCTTTGGATTCCCATCTCCCTCTGCTCACAAGACACACGCTGAGAGGTCTCTGCCAGCTCCTTGCAGAACTGGTAGGGTCTAGTGGACCAAACAGAGGCTCAGGAAGCAAGAACTCTCTCTGCTCTGCTTCTGACTTGCTGGGTGACCTTGGGCAAGTCCCTTCGCCAATCTGTGCCTTGACTTCCCCATCTGTAACATGGGGGCACTAGCACTCTCCTAATTCCCAAGATGTTGTGTGGCTCAGAGAATGACTAGACAGTGCTTCGATTGGCCTCGGATGAAAGGCACCTGCACACTTTAAGGGACGCACCGTACAGGGCCTCCTCTTTTGTGGGCTCTTCAGCATGCATCCCTAGCCAGGCACCTTGGTCCCAATCCTGCTCCCATTCACATCAATGACCCAGGTCTAATAGTCTTCAACGATCCAGTTCTAGATGTTGGAATCTGACAAATACATTTTAATTCACCCACTGCCATGGTGCTAGTGAAGAATAGCAGGGATGCATAACTTTGGGCTTTATAATTTTGGGCCTAAACATGAGCATTCACTCACGTCAGCATTGAGTTCCTGGTTGGACAAGCCATTTGTAAAGAGGGCCAAAAAAAACCCACCCCCTTATTCTAACACCACCATCTTCCTCTCCCTACTAGGCCTAGGGGGAGGAAGATGGGGCAGTGATAAGACCTAGCTCTGATCCGATGTCCTGCCCCACCACAGGCTTCCTCTGTGACCTTGGGCAAGTCACTTAGGGTTTTCATTGCAGATTAAGTCCAGGTGCCTGGCACCCAGGTCTGACCAGCTGGGTTAGCCTAGCCTGCCTGTGAGCAGCCACGGCAAAGCCCTGAATGCATTACTGTGTCCACACTGCTAACCTGCTGGTTGCTAAGACTTCTGGGGGCACATCCCATGGTTCTTAGCACTGCAGTGAACTGATTGGCTCTATGATTCTTTCCCAGTGAATTGTGGGAGAACTTATCGGTCCTTCTGGGCATGTGTGCAGGGGATTGTGGGAAGGCACTGGAGGACTGTCTGTTTCCAGGTGAGTTAGCCTGCATCCTTGCTGCAAAGTGCATAGGTTACCAGCCCCAGCGAAAGCAGCTCCCACCCCCACCCCCACCCCGGCGCGTCAGACTGCTCTCACAGCAGGGCCAGCTTGCCTGGCTTGAAAGCACCACCATATGCAGGTGAGAGGGTTTTGTGTGTGGACACGAGGAGGGGTGGGGGGATCATAGAATATTAGGGTTGGAAGAGACCTAAGGAGGTCATCTAGTCCAACCCCCTGCTCAAAGCAGGACCAACCCCAACTAAGTCATCCCAGCCAGGGCTTTGTCAAGCCGGGCCTTAAAAACCTCTAAGGATGGAGATTTCACCACCTCCCTAGGTAACCCATTCCAGTGCTTTACCACCCTCCTAGTGAAATAGTGTTTCCTAATATCCAATCTAGACCTCCCCCACTGCAACTTGAGACCATTGCTTCTTGTTCTGTCATCTGCCACCACTGAGAACAGCCAAGCTCCGTCCTCTTCAGAACCTCCCTTCAGGTAGTTGAAGGCTGCTATCAAATCCCCCCTCACTCTTCTCTTCTGCAGACTAAATAACCCCAGTTCCCTCAGCCTCTCCTTGTAAATCATGTGCCCGAGCCCCCTAATAATTTTTGTTGCCTTCCGCTGGACTCTTTGCAATTTGTCCACATCCCTTCTGTAGTGGGGGAGACCAAAACTGGACGCAATACTCCAGGTGTGGCCTCACCAATGCCGAATAGAGGGGAATAATCACTTCCCTCGATCTGCTGGCAATGCTCCTACTAATACAGGCCAATATGTTGTTGGCCTTCTTGGCAACAAGGGCACACTGCTGACTCATATCCAGCTTCTCGTCCACTGTAATCCCCAGATCCTTTTCTGCAGAACTGCTGCTTAGCCAGTTGGTCCCCAGCCTGTAGCGGTGCATGGGATTCTTCCTTCCTAAATGCCAGAGTTAGAGCCTGAGTTAACACTCCAGTGAGGACACATCCTTAGCCTGTCTGCTTCAGTTTCTCCATCTGTAGGGAATGACAGCACTGCCCAGCCTCCTGGGTGTTGTGAGGATGAATACATTACAGATTGTGAATTGACAAGTAATGGGGGCCATAATAGTATCTAGGTTAGATAAAAACAGAGGAAAGAAATTAAGATGGATATGGATCATTTAAGCCTTGGATAGACAGAGCCATACGCTCAGCTGTGGAAAATCAGCAGAGCTCCATTGTCTTCCGTTCACACCATCTGAGGCTCTGGCCCACAATTTTAAACTCCTAAACTATTACATGGATTTATTTTTAACTTTCCGAGAAATTCTGTCTGTACCCTAAAACCAGGCGTACAGTAGGATTTTTAGCCCCCTGTGTAATTACACCCACATAGCTGGCTCAGCGCAATCCCCTCCTGCAGCCACACTGCATTGGTATAAACGGTGTCTATGGTAGGGTTTTGCAGTGCACTAGTGGATGAAATCCCACTGGGAGGCAGCGTAGTCTAGTAGATAGGAGATCTCGTTAGGCATCGGGAGAACTGGGTTGCAGTCCCAGCTCTGCTGTGTGATGGTTGGACAATCACGCCCTCCCCTTGGTTCCCCTCCCAGTCGCATTTCTATGCAGCTGGGAAGCTCTCGAGGGGACGGGCTGCATCTCTGTGATTGTGCAGCACTTGGCATGATGGAGCCCTGATCTCATTTGGGCCCTTTTGTTGCTATTGAGAATAACAGTGTAGGCGTGGGGTGAGAGTTGGACTTTTGCCACATACTCCACCGCACTCCTCACTCTCCAGCCAAGCCTCACCACTGGCTTCTCTACTCCTCTGTTAGAGGCAGAACATCTTTAGCAGAACACATCTGAAGGCAGCCTCCATCCCCCTTAGAGTGGCAGTGTGTCTGTGTAAGAGCCTAGCCTTCTGTTTGTACATAATGAGCGCACTATGGTTTCCTTCACACGCCTTTGCTCTGTGGGAGCCAGTGCAGCCTGACAAGAGTTTCGCTTAGGCAGAAATTACAGGCGTTCATGCCTCTGTGCTAAAATCAAGGGTGGATTTCAAAACATCAGCTGCCACCTACTGGAGAGTTTTGTCTATGGAGTTCTCTGGAACCCCTGAGTTCGCTCTCCACGCATGCAATTCACTTGTCGGTTTAGTAACACTTAGACTGCAACCCATTAGCGGGCCTTTATTAGAGAGTATGAGGGGCTCATGCCCTTGTTCATGTTCTGACAACATTCTCCCCAGATCCAGCGAGCTGGAGAAGGAACCTGCTAACTTTCCTCTGTTTGCAGTTATTTCCATTGCCATCTCTGGTAAGGGCATGCAAGACCAGATTCGTGTCATTTACAAGAGGAGAAGTGCAAAATGATAGCAGCTTTGATTCACAGCTGCATTTCGCCCTTAGTATTTATGGACGTAACCTGTGCTCGCAGTTCCTTAGGATGAAATCCCAGGGCTAAGAGTGACACCAGCTCCCCAGGCGAGGAGGGCCCTGCATGTACAGTGAGCTTTTACTAATTGCCCTTAGTGTTCTGCCTCTCTCTTTCTACCAAGTGGGTTATTGGCAGTGGGGATCTGGAACCATAAGCTTCTGTTGTCTGAGCTAAAAGACCCAGCTGTAGCAGCCTCATCAACCTGCCATCGCTAGCAAGGGACAGAGCATCATACCGAGTAGGTGTTACACCGAGCTTTCTGGAGTAAGATTACACAGAGGGTCAGATCTGAAGTCAGGAAAGAATTCTCCCTTGGACACATCAGCAGGGGATCTGAGATTATCCGCACCTGATTTTCTACTCACACTAGCATAAACCAGGAGCAACCTCAGTGAAATCAACACAGTGACCCTGGTGTAAAACTGGAGTGAGAAGAGAATCAGGCCCTCTGTGTTTTACTCCTTCCTTCCAGCTCATTTGCCCTACATTTCCCCTGGATATAAACTGCTGGCAGAAGCTGAGCTGCTGCAGAAAAGCAAATCCAGGGCTTCCTCACTGCATCTGGAGAATGTCCCGTCTTTTTCAAAGAGACAGAAAAGCACCTTTATAAAAATACCCCTTTTCCATTCTTTCTAGTGTAAAAATATAACATTTAGCATTCATAATAAATAGACTCTCTGCTCTGGACAGCGACTGTGATGGGTGGATCAGATTGGCCCAAGGGGACGAATCAGCTGCAGTGTCTGGCAACCACGGAACATCCTGGAGCATCATGTGTCCAAGCGATGTCTCTGGAGTGTGGGCGACTCCTGAGTCCAGCTGCAGGGGAGCGGGTGTCTGCCACCTAGTCATGTGGCTGAGCGCGTGGGTCTAGGCCCCCGCAGCAGCTCCTCCTGGCCGGATCCCCATTCGTGCACCTCAGAGTCCCTGCTGTTGGCAGACGGCATCTCAAACTCCATCCTCCGGCGCTGGCCAAACACTTTCTCCTGTAGTTCAATGATGTCATTCCTGATGTCGGCCATCATCAGGAGCAGGAAGTCAAAGGAGCCCGGAGGGCCCTGTGGGGAGAGAAAAGAGAGGCTTGCTGTGAGCGCAGAGCTCTGTCCCAGTGGCTCAGACCGGACTGGCCAGGCTCCCGTGCTGGCCAAACATAAAGATGTCCAGGGTTTTGTTTCAGCATACCCCAGACCCTGACTCACGAAGGTAACAATGATGCCATGTCGCAGCTGATCAATGCCAGCCTGATGGAGGTTGTGTTCAGGGAAGGGGGGAGAGTGGCAGGAAAGGGCTGGTTGCATGTAGGAGAGGCTCTACTTGGCTGGGTGCCAGGGCCATCCTTAGGATTTATGGGGCCCTACACAATATTATTAAACTGGTGCCTCTAAGCCCGAAGGCAGCCCGAACTCAGAGCCTGGCTGGGGGAGGAAGGGGCGAGACAGCAAAGGATAACGAGACCCCCAGCCCGCCTCACGGTGGCGGAGAGTCACAGTTCCCCGCAGAGATCCCCGTACCCTCTCCCTCTCCCAGAATGGACATGCAGAAGGTACCTAATTAAAAGCACTAAACTTGGGAATAAAAAATGTCATTCACAGGTTTTTTGATATGCCCTGAAGTTTGTCAGACATCTGTTTGCAAAAACTTTGTAGTAAGGGCAAGGCAGCTGTCTTGCTGAATACAGCATTAAATATTATGAAATACATGATGCAGCTCTTCTCTGTTTTACATTTTCTTAATCAGTATTTCTAAGCTGATTTTATATTTTAAATGTACTCTTAAGCCTTCATAAAGTAATCATTCCAGATTACTACATATTTAACTCACTGAAACAAAGACATTAATTTAAATTAATCAGTCACAGAGGTTTAGTATGTTCATAACAATGTTCGTTGCTTTTAGAAAAAGAGAACACTAATTTACTGTGTGTGATCTCCATAACAATAGACATGTTTATGAAATTTCACCAACTTTAAAAAATATGTTTCCAAAGATTTTAGGCATAACAAAGGATTTTATATCTTACTAAGGTACTGATTTTGCTGGAGGGTTCTCTTAAAACTAATTCATCAGATAGTCAGAAGTAAAGAAAGGGAAACTCTTTGTCCAGCTATCTGGAAGGAAAGGGGTGTTGTCCCTTTAAGGGCTCTCTTCAATGGGGGGTGGGGGAAGAGGGGGTGAAGGGAGAAAGGGATGGACAGAAAGACTTTGGAAGCAAGTTTTTTTTACTATAGTAATTAAAATGGGTATTTTAGATAAAGGCGGTCTTTTGAAGGATTTATTTAAAAAACTAGGGTTACCATATTCAAACATTTAAAAAAGAGGACACGCCACGGGGCCCCGGTCCCGCCCCCGGCCCCGCCCCAACTCCGCCCCTTCCCCACCCCCACCCCCGCCCCAACCCCACCCCTTCTCCGCCCCCATTCCAACCCCTTCCCCAAAGTCCCTGCCCCAACTCTGCCCCCTCCTCTGAGCACCCTGCATTCCCCCTCCTCCCTCCCGCTCTGATCTTGGTTGGGGGTTGCTAAGTGCTTCCCTGCTCCCCACTCGCCCCGCAGCCCCTATGCCCTTGCCTGCCCTGCTCCTCGTCACCCTACAGCCTCTGCACCCCCCCGCCCCTGCAGCCTCTGTGCCCCCTGCTGCCCACTCGCCCTGCAGCCTCTGTGCCCCCTGCTGCCCACTCGCCCTGCAGCCTCT